TCCTTCATGACTCCAGCCATCTTACTTGCATGCATACATGAGACCTACGATGGTCAAGTCCAGTCCATATTGGGTATCTAAAATACTTAATTTATTGGGCTATAAATCCATTCACACAGTGAATTTACGACATCATTCATTTGCGGCATACTTAATTTATTGGGCTATAAATCCATTGACACAGTGGATTTACGACAAGGCTAAGGCTTCATTTGTGGCCTTTCATCATCACCATAGCTATGTATATTTAAAAATATAATAATAATTATTTTTAAAATATTTTTTTACTAAAAATATATTAAAATAATATATATATATATATATATTTTTTTTTTTAAATTTATTTTTGATATCATTATATTAAGACTAATTTATAAACCAAACAAATACTAATTGCAGTATAAACCAGTAGCAGTTATACGTTATTCATGAATAGAAGTAAATATTTTTTTTAATTAATATGGATATTCAGATTAATTTATATGTTTTTTAACTAATTTTATATAGGCTCTAAAATTATAAATCTCCAGTAATTCTTAAAGAACTCGAACCGTGAGCATTGAGAAGCAGCATAAACTATTGATCCGATTAGGCATGGCTTTTCTTGTAAACAAACAAGCAGGAAAAAGTGTTCCAAATAAGATAGAACGATTCATACAACAGCCATCACGGTCAAGTAACGTCCGAATCTTCAGCTTGGTAAGAAGTAAAAACAACTCCATGCATTTTCAATCGCTTGATGCACACACAGTATATGAGTGGCTTTTGAAGAATATGAAAAAACAGGTTTAAAACACCCACCAAAAAAAAAAAAAAACTCCAGTTCTACACATGGAACAGCTTTGTCACTCAGTGTCTTTAGTTTCCTCCATTTCTCAGTTGACATGAATAACATGAAGGTAACTCATTATACATCTTTTATCAGCTTACCACTTCAATGTTAAAAATTAAAGATCAGTATCACATTACAAGTAACAAAACCTCAGGTTCAAAATTCTTATGTTGTAATATATGAAATCTTGTTTGATATGAATCTGTAGAGGTTAAGGCTATCTTCGGTGTCAATGCTGATCATAAGTCACTTTATTCATAAACAATATCATGTAGAAAAGAAGAGGGAATGAATTCAGTCCTTGTGCCCTTAGAGATGCAGAATAGCAGCGTTAGAAAACTGGAGAAAAGCTCATAGCAACTCAGCAGCAGAAGAGGCTCATAAACAGCGTGGAAACAGCAGCTGATGAACTAAGCTGAAGCAACAGCTTCAGGTGATCAAATGGAGAAATCTGAGAGAAAGCTACCGAAGCGTGGTGGCTCAAACTATCACAGGAACAACAAAGAGCCAGATTATCTTAGATCCCACTACTGAACCAGTTTATCAAATCCAGTAAGCCAAAAGTCAAATTCGAACATTAGGATCCGGCAATGGAGAAGCCGAAATTAAAGAGGAGAAGCCACTGAAAGAACCCAACAGGTAAAAAGTCCTGCAGTACACTAAACAGGACCTGAGCAACAATTGAGACACCTGAACATGAATCAATGAAGAATAAGATCAATGGCCTATATATCAAGTTAGCGGAGAAACATGCTGGTTGAATTTCAAGAATTTTGAACCTACCCCATTGACTATTCAGCTGCTGATTTTATGAAATCTGGCAAAGGATTAAGCAGTGAAAACGTGTTGTCTGATCTCCAAAGCTTGTACCATCCCCTGAAGAATTTTGATGGCACGAGTAATGAATTATTCCCAAGTCTTGCCATCCCTGTATCATGAGAACTTCATCCAAAGAAACCTTTGGTATCTTATGAACAGGGAAAAAAAGGCATAAGTTTTATCTCATCAAAGTAGTTTTCCATTAAATCAGCTTACGTGGGATACTTCCAATCGACTATAGATTCCACCATGTCTTCTCTGCTAGTGCAGAACATCTACTTGTTACAAGGGAGTTTTGTCGACCTGTAGTTGAAGGGTGAAGTTTTCTTAAGTAGCCATCAATACAGAGTTGTTTGAAACTGTCTACCGAAGGGGGAGATTAAACCTATGCACATTGAAGGAATATTTATCTCTGACAAAAAAGAAAATGATAACATCAAACCCTAATAACTATCCATATTGTATTATCAAAGAAAGAGGCCAGAAGGCCAATTACCTGGCAGGCATGGAACATCTCTTAGGCAGGGCTGGATATCGAGACATCATATTTATCGTACTATAGAGGAGAAGAAAGAAAAGCATGTTGGAGATTCATTATCGCAAAGCATGCTGGAGATTCATTATCGCTTCTCCGTGAACATCCTTCCTTGAGAAGATCTCACCAAAACAACTTTAATAGCACTGTAAATGGTTGCACAGCGACAAAAAAAAAATCATATGCACTATTAAAACAATAAACCAGAAAATAAATTAAATAAAATATTGTGAAGTATCTCATATTTATATTTAATCAGTTGATTTAATTTAATTTAAAAAATTTCTTTTTATGAAAGCTAAATCTAACAAAGAATAATAAATAAAAAAACTCAAGATAATCTAAATTATTTTTAAAATTAATGAAAAATCATATAAAAGCAAATCATCTCTTACACAATGCAGGTGCGTTTGCAAATAATGGAAAAACACTCCCACGGATCCTGATTATTTCAGGCATCACCCTCTCGACAAGAAAACCCAGAAACCTTTTTATCTCTATATGCAGGAGAAAAAACTTTACTGGCTTGAACCTCAAGGAACCAGTTTGCATGCTGTTTCATGTGGACTAGGGTTTGATACTTAGACTAAGAAATTTAATGTTCTTACGTTTTTAAAAAACCTTTTTCATTGTGGTTGTTCATTTATGGTTCATATTTCTTGATTTGATCATATTTCTCTCCGTGGATCAATACAGAGTTGTTTGAAACTGTCTACCGAGGGGGGATATTAATCTTATGCACATTGAAGGAATATAAATCTCTGAAAACAAAGAAACTGATAACATCAAACCCTAATAACCATCCATTTTGTATTATCAAAGAAAGAGGCTAGAAGGCCAATTACCTGGCAGGCATGGAACATCTCTTTAGGCAGCGATGGATATCGCGACATCATATTTATCGTACTAAAGAGGAGAAGAAAGAAAAGCATGTTGGAGATTCATTATGGCTTCTCCGTGAACATCCTTCTTTCATAAGATCCTTCTTTCATTTTGTTTTTTTAATTAATGTGGGTATCTGAACTAGCTTGCATGGATCACGACTAATCTCACTAGTCTTGAAATTAATGATCATGTAAGCCTCCAGTAGCCATCACATAAGCAACCAATAACTCAAACCTGAAACCATAAAGAAAATAAACCCCTTAATCCTAAAATTTTACCACTTGACCATCATCTAAATGATTACTAAAACACCTTTAATATCACTGTAAATGGTTGCACAGCGACATAAAAAAATCATATGCACTATTAAAACAATAAACCAAAAAATAAATTAAATAAAATATTGTGAAGTATCTTATATTTATATTTAATCAGTTAATTTAATTTAATTTTTTTTAAAAAGCTAAATCTAACAAAGAATAATAAATAAAAAAACTCAAGATAATCTAAATTATTTTTAAAATTAATGAAAAATCATATAAAAGCAAATCATCTCTTACACAATGCAGGTGCGTTTGCAAATAATGGAAAAACACTCCCACGGATCCTGATTATTTCAGGCATCACCCTCTCGACAAGAAAACCCAGAAACCTTTTTATCTCTATATGCAGGAGAAAAAACTTTACTGGCTTGAACCTCAAGGAACCAGTTTGCATGCTGTTTCATGTGGACTAGGGTTTGATACTTAGACTAAGAAATTTAATGTTCTTACGTTTTTACATGTAGAAAGATTGTAGAAACATTTGTGGTTGTTCATGTATGGCCCATATTTCTTGATTTGATCATATTTTTCTCCGTGGATGGATCATCTCGATTCTGAAACTTAAAGGGTTAGGCTGCACACACTTACATTACTTCGTACTATCCACGAAATTTGAACTCATAAGAGTTCAGTTATTCAGACCATGATAGCATGTAAAAGTTCAATCTCGGTTGTATCAACATTTAATAAAATTGTTTATAATCCAAGCTTATCTTCAGTACTCAAGGATTTGAACTGAAGACAAAGATTAGGGTTTCTTCCTTTTGAGCTGTGTTTCATGCTTGCAATCTATACATTTGATTACTAGTTTAATATTTTTAAAATTGAGAGAGCTTTTAATTTTAAAAGTATTAAAATCATTAAATACATTCAAAGTTGTTCTCTGTTATTTTATATAAACATGTGTATATGGAACAATTCTTCCTGAAAGCTCGAACCCCCGGTGCCAGGTTTTGAAATGGGAAGGGGGAAGATGGAAGAGGAAGGAACTCGAGTGGATGTTTAAAATTGTGATAACAATTTTGTTTAATTTTTTTTTTAATATATTAAAATAATTTTTTTTAATTTTAAAAATTATTTTTATATGATACAAAAATATATATTTTTTTTTAAAACTTTAAATATACACGTATAGTTTTGCCTGGTGATTGCAAATAAGGTCCAGATAAGATTTGCTGGCCCAAGTCCATTGAGCCCACCCAATAGGATAACCTTTTATTTTCTCCTATTAAAAGTCGGGCCCAATACCGTAACCTCGGCAAATTGGCTAAAGATTAAAAAAAATTAAAATACACGCATACAAGAAGCATCCAATAGAATGTTGTAATTACAACTACGCTTTGTATTTTGCCCTATATCTAGGCAGCCATTAAGAAAGAAAAAACTCAAAATTCTCCTTTTACAAAATGTCAAAATCCATTTCATAAAAAAATGAAATTGATTTTAATGGCTCTGGCGATGGAATGTTTTCTTTTTTATTCAAGAAAGAAAAACTATTAAATAAAATCATAATTAATTATATTTGTTTATAAATCTCATAGAAACATATAATCTGTTTTAAAAATATTTATAAATCTTATGTTTTTATGGAGAAAAAAAAGAGAGAGAGGTGTGATTCTGAATATTCCAGACCGAACCACCCCTGAGAACCACCTTTGAGTGGAGGACTTGCCACCGCAACAATGAAAGCCTCGTTCTTGCACGAATTGCTTCCATTATTAATAAAGAAAACCCCACCCAATAGCTTCCATATTGATCCACTTTCGTCCTCCCATCACCACACCACCCCGTGACAGACTCACTTTAACCTCTCTCTCTCTCTCACACACACAAAAAGTTCATAGGCAGTGGACAAATCAACCCGTGAAGTCTTTGATCCCGTGAACCGTAAAAGAAACCAAAACCTGTTAATTGGATAGAATCACAAAAGTTCAATCCTTGATCACTCCAGTCCACTCCACTCCACACATTAAATTCCAAAATCCCCATCACTATAAATACGTACCATGACAACATCATCAACAACACATTCAAGAAAACCAAGAAACTTTCTTAACATTTCCATGGCTTCACTGCTCTCCTTCTCTCTCTTCTCTATCTTTCTTTTCCTCTCCCTCTCATCCTCCTCCACCACCACTTTAAAGACAAACAGCCACCACCCCAAGAAACAAAAACAAAAACCCAGACCAAATGAACCACCCTCATCTGCCTCAACCACCCCACCTGAGATTCTCCAAGCTTGTAAAGCCACTAGATTTCAAGACGCTTGTATCTCTTCCTTGTCTAACCCTAATGTTCCTCGAAATCCAACCCCCCTTGAAATCATCCAATCAGCAATCTCTGTTTCCAACACAAACCTTAAAACTGCCCAATCAATGGTCAAGTCTATCCTAGACTCGTCCACAGGGAATATCAACCGCACAACAGCCGCGAAAAACTGCGTGGAAGCGTTAATCAATTCACAATACCGCATAACAAGATCAACGGATGATGCTTTGCCACGTGGAAGAGTCAAGGACGCTAGGGCTTGGATGGGGGCTGCCTTGCTGTACCAATACGATTGTTCCAACGCATTGAAGTACGCTAATGACACGTCTCTCACTAGGCAGACGATGTCGTTTTTGGACACCCTGATGGCTTTCTCTAGTAATGCATTGAGCATGATTGTCTCATACGATGCCTTTGGTAACGAGACCAAGTCATGGGGCCCGCCAAAAACCGAACGTGACGGGGTCTGGGAGCTCGGGTCGGCTCCCGGATCGGGTGGGCATTTTGGTTCGGGGTTCAGGGGTGGGTTTCCGTCTGAATTAACAGCGGATGTGACGGTGTGCAAGGACACGAGTAATGGCGGGTGTTATAAAACGGTGCAGGAGGCGGTGAATACGGCACCGGATAATGAGTGGGGACATAGATACGTGATCCACATAAAGGAAGGAGTTTACAATGAGATAGTTAGAGTGCCGTTAGAGAAAAAAAATGTGGTGTTTTTAGGAGACGGGATGGGTAAAACAGTAATTACGGGGTCACAAGCTGTGGGCCAGCCTGGGATTTCCACCTACAACACGGCAACAGTGGGTAAGTTCATTTTTTAACTCTTGCTGTTTTCAAGTAATTCTTTGCATTTGTTGGATGCTGACTCATCATGCCAAATGTGATGACATCTGGCATGCTGAATCAGCATTCACTTGCAGTTAAAGAGTAACAATTATTTTTTTTACCTTCATGTATATTGGCCTGACATGAGAAAGAATTCTGACCGTAACCATGTTCGTGGTATGCTTTAAAAGCATGTTTACGTAGAAAATACGTCGAATTGATTTTATTTTATATTTTTTTAATGATTTTTATATAATAATGAAAAAAATAAAAAATATATATTTTAATATATTTGTAAAAAAAAAATAATAATTAAAAAGCAATCAATGAGTTGATACAGCAGGAGAGAGGGGTGGCACAGGACTAGTTAAGGTAGGCAAAGACCATTATTGTGATCATTATTTGGCTCGGCCGATAGGTTGATATTTGAGATGCAAGGAGGAGAAAGTAGGCAGCCTTTTATTTATTTCTAAATTGGGGACCAATTTGATCATTCACTCTCATAAAGGTGAGCAAGGATCAAGAGTTTAGCAGAAGTGTTGAGGATCTGAATTTTATAATATGGCAGGAGACAGGAGTTACCTTCCATAGCCAAAACCTATCCTTCTTTCTTGTGACTCAAATTATCACACAGGGTGCCGTGCTTTCACATTTGCTCAAATCTTCTTTGTATAGCAGCACCCTTCAAGAGCAAAAGCTTTGAATCACCATACCACCATCATGGCAGAACCATCCTCACCAACAGGTTCAACAAAACCACTCAACAACTTTGGCCACAGACCACCATTTTCAAGCTCAAAATCCAAATGCTTTGTTATCGTCATTGCTATTGTCCTGTTGTTATCCCTTGTTTCTCTCATTCTCTTCTTTACCCTTTCTTCAAAGACCAACAAAGAACACAGATATTCATCGCAAACACAACTCTTTCCATCTATACCAGCTCCCATAACAACAAGACAAACTCAGACTGATATCCATTTAGCCTGCAATGCGACGCAACATCCTCAAACATGCGAATCCTCTTTAGGAGAAGCCAATGTTGTCCCTCCTAACCCAACCCCGATTCAAATCATCCAATCTGCGATCTTTGTCTCCTCTCAGAACCTCACAACTGCAAAGTCAATCCTAAACTCTCTCCTAGCATCAACTACCAACCCAAACATCACCACTGCTGCGAAAATTTGTTTAGAGGTACTGGGATATTCGCAGTACCGGATTTTATCAGCCAACCAGAGCTTGACACGTGGAGAGATCAAGAATGCTCGCGCTTGGATGAGCGCGGGTCTTTCTTATCAATATGATTGCTATGGAGGTCTGATTTACAACGCTCGTAATAGTACCTCAAAGCCGATCAATGAAACATTGTTGTTCTTGGAGTCTTTGGTTGGTTTAACTAGCAATGCGTTAAGCATGACGATGTCTTATGATTTGTTTGGAAATGAAACGGAATCGTGGAGACCTCCCCAAACCGAAAGGGACGGGTTCTGGGAGGATTCCGTGCTTGATAGTGTACGGGGGTTTTTCAGAGGTGGATTTCCATCAAAGTTAACGGCGGATGCCACGGTGTGTAAGGATGAGAGTAAAGATAACGGATGCTACAAAACGGTGCAGGAAGCTGTTAACGCGGCACCAGATAACGCCTTGGACCGGAGGTTTGTGATACATATAAAGGAAGGGGTTTACGAGGAGATTGTTAGGGTTCCGTTTGAGAAGAAAAATGTGGTCTTTTTGGGTGATGGGATGGGCAAGAGTGTCATTACCGGGTCGTTGAGTGTCGGTCAGATTGGAGTGACTACTTATGAGTCAGCTACAGTTGGTAAGTTTATCTTGTTTTAACTGTGTTTTCATAGTTTGTGAAACGGTGGGGGTGGTGAAAGGGATAAAAATGGATGAGTGGATCCTACGAGCGCCGACAGTCTTTTTTAGTAGAAGCTTCTCGCAACTTTCTAGTTATTAGTGGCTGTAGCCTTGGGGAAATCATAGCTTTAATTCCATTGGACAGTATTTGAATTAAGAGCATTATATTATCTAGTGTTTGATTGGTAATATTTGGCAATAGAGGTTAACTTAGTAGTTAATTATCAAGAATAAGTTGATATTTGAGCCAAGATGACCTTTTGTAATATCCTATGATCCTATCACATGGCCGGCATCCCATAAGCTGACGTTGCTTTAATTCCTGTGGGAAACTAGGAAAGTAATGTGAAGCTTGAATAGCAAAGCACATGGGTTGCCGACCATTCTTGACGCTACAAGTCCTGGAAAACCATGTGTCGGGGACTTGAGGTTCTGATAGCAATCATTCTGATCCCAAATGAAAATAAAAATTCCAAGGGTGCTGGTTCATTAGATTATGGTTTTGCCATCTTGTTAGGATAATCTTTTTGAGTTCTTGTAGTTAGGTATTTGCTGGCTATGATAAATCATATCTTGGTTGCAACTGCTGCTTGTCCAATTTCTGGAGAAGTATAATGAGTGAAATTTGAAGTTCTTGGCATCTTCAACCCATGAGCAAAAGAACTTTGCTGATGTGTCTGTGATATAAGTTTGAAATAATTTTTTTAATGGAAAATGATAGCTTTTGGGTTGAATTTCTCACCCTGTTTTGTCATTGTTTTGATATGTTCTATCTCTTGTTGTAGGAGTTCTTGGTGATGGATTTATGGCCAGTGGTCTAACAATCCAGAACACAGCAGGAGCCCCCACCCACCAAGCAGTAGCTTTCAGGTCGGATAGTGATTTGTCCATTATAGAGAACTGTGAATTTCTGGGCAATCAAGACACTTTATATGCTCATTCACTCCGCCAATTTTACAAATCATGCCGCATCGAGGGAAATGTGGACTTCATTTTCGGAAACTCAGCTGCAATTTTTCAAGATTGCCAGATATTAATCCGTCCAAGGCAAGAAAAGCCAGAAAAAGGCGAAAAAAATGCCGTCACCGCACATGGCAGGACAGACCCGGCCCAATCAACAGGTTTCGTCTTTCAAAATTGTTTGATCAATGGAACTGAGGAATACATGGCACTATATAGAAGCAACCCTAGCGTGCACAAGAATTTCTTGGGAAGGCCATGGAAGGAATTCTCGAGGACTGTTTTTATACACTGTAACCTGGAAGCTCTTCTATCACCACAAGGTTGGATGCCATGGAGTGGAGATTTTGCACTCAAAACACTTTATTATGGAGAATTTGAGAATTCTGGACCAGGATCTGACTCGTCTCAGAGAGTAACATGGAGCAGTCAAATTCCTGCAGAGCATGTAGCTACATATTCTTTACAGAATTTCATTCAAGGAGATGAGTGGATTCCAACATCTTCTTGATTGTTTAGTCGCAATAATAATGCCGTCTGCCTAGTATGTTAGGAGAACTTGTCGAATTAGATACAAGTTGGTGGGGGATGAATCCTTTTGTAATTACAAAACTTGTGAAATGAGTGACAAAATTCCCTAAATATAAGATGGTTACTTTATCAGGAACTCATCTAACAGCAGTTGTATGCAGAAATTGATTGTCCTCAGGTTAATTCCTCTTTTGTTTGTAAGCCACACATGTTTTTCTTTTCTTTTCAGATAAATATGAACCCCTGGAAAATGGATGCAAAGATAATTATGAATTCTTGTCATCTAACGTACTCACTGTTCTTGATTGATTTGCAGAATCAGATGTATATTAACCTATTCTGTCAATGTTTCTGATTAATCATCAACTTTGATGCTTAATGTAGAAATGGGCTCTAGAATCTCCGTTGTAATAGTTCGCTGGACAGACCAGATCCATCAGTGATCAGTCATGAAAAAGGGTGAAAGCGAGTGTCATCAGAAACCTTATCTGATGATTGTAATGATACGACACTACTTTTCTATTTGCTTGCAGGGTAAAGGTTGCTGTTCAGTTAAGGAAACTGAATGGAGTTGCTTGATTTGATTATGTTGGGGTCACTTCGATCTCAGCTTTGCAAATTGTAGATGCATTAAGAACAGGTATTTGGTTTGGAAAAATTAAGGTTTCTTCTCTTCTTCGCGATGCCATCCCTGCCGTGTACTGTTTAGAGACCAGTCATGATCATTTCACACTGAGGTGGCCCGTTTAGAGACCAGTCATGATCATTTCACACTTTGGTTATTTTTTGTAATTGTGTTGGAAGTTTTTTCAAAAAACTTTGGTTATTTTTTTAAATTTTTGGAAGCGTAGATGTTAATCTCAGTAAATATTTACAATAGTGTTTTACATCTAGTTTTAAAAATATTTTTAAAAAATAAAAAATATTTTTTTAATATATTTTATAATAAAAAAACATTTTAAAAACAACTACTACTATATTTTTAAATTTATCAATATATTTATTTAGATAATAAACTAATCTCATTTTATGAAAATGAAAAATTATAAAGATAAACGAGTAAACTAACTTAAGAGTTATTGTTTTGATTTGATTTGATTTTTATATAAAAATAACTAAATTAAATTTAAAAAAATTTGAAATCAAACCAAAACTAATTTTTGGTTTAGATTTTTGGGACAAATACTAATTCAAATTAGTTTAGTTTAGTTTTTTCTAGTTTAACTCTGGTTTGAACTTGTTATTTTTTTAATTTCACACTTATAAAATTAAAACTAAACTGAAGTAATTAATTTTTTTAATTGATTTAATTTTTTAATTTTTTTTTTTATATTTTTAGTCTAATCAATTTTTTAGGTTTTTTCTCCTCACCCAACTAACCTGGCCAGTTTTTTCAACAAGATGCTTTATGTGAGGCTAGTTGAGCAGGAGTCAAGACCACTTTTGTCTGTTGCTATCGTTGCCCTAATCAAGGAACAGATTTCTGCATGCCATTTTCATATCACATGAGCAAACAGCGTACGCGTGGCTCTATGTTAAACCCGTGTTTCAGACTTCAGTTGCTATCTCATGATGCCGAAAGGCCGGCGATCGGTTTCCTAGTTGTCATGTAAGAACAAATTGTCCGCATATGTCCCACTGCTCTTTATATTTTATGTCAATATTTCTGCTGTGTAGCATATGCGAGTAAAATTACCTGCCTAAGTTTTAGGTTTGGTAAATGCGATAACTACGTCATGCTTGAAGTTGGCCTGCGCATGCTTTCCACTTTGTGCCTTATCTTCCCCTTGGAGGAAATGGTCGTCTACTCTACTCTCCATGACTGAAACCCATTGTTACAGTCAACTCTGGGCCTCTGGCATCCACTTGCTTGGTCATGCTTTTATCTTCCCACTTCCACACCTCTTTCCTTTAACTAGTATATTTCTATTTCTTCACCCACCCATTTGTAGGCCCGTTCCCATTCGCATTCTATACTTGCACGAATCAACACTACATGTGAAAATCAACACCCTCTAGTCAATCTGTGCTGTAATGGGTCTTAGCTGTGTCCATGGATCCTGTGGGGAGCATCAAATTGTCCCATACTATTCACAGCCTAAATTGCCGCCCCACTACTTTGGTGGACTTTTTAATAGATTTCACAAATACTTTTAGGTCACATATTGCATGCGGCCTCCTTTGTCTCAATTACTTCTACACCATAGTCTACAGACATGTGAATCTAATAGTCTAGAAGACGTGGAGAAAAAAAAATAGTGAGCAGTCTTTGCAATATCCACCAATGGAGGGATCAACAGTTGCAACGTAGATGTTTACTAGGATTCACGCCTGCGCTTCACTGCGGAATACAAACAGATATATTTACAATGTTCCCTGTTTATGATTGCCATGTATTTGGGCTAATCTCTGCACGAACACTTACCAAGCCATAGAATCACTTAGAAGCAAGGAGTAGTCATTGCAAGTCTAGTTTCTGTAAATAAAACATGATGGATCATGGAAACATGGACACAATTATACTAGTGTAGAGCACAAAAATCAAATGACTTCTCAAATCTGTATATAACTCGGCTGCAGAAACATCAAAGGGGTATTCTATCTCGAAACAGAGAGCGGTCTAGAAAATTTATGCTTCGAAAAGGGGAATAAACAAAGAATTACATATCCGTATTCTGTTTCATTTGACCAAAGAGGCATATCAATATGGCGAGCCTAATGGGAATTAATAACTCACAAGCCAGGAAGAGATGCTGTGCTGATAGCTGGTGGCGATGGGTTAAAGAATTCATCATTAGTCCAATTCGTCTCGCCCCAGTGTTTTAACATACTCTTCCAATTGCATACATTGTCAACACATTTTTTTAAGCGGCGGTCCTGAACTTTGATTTTCCAGTGACCATCCGTGTAGTTTGCCTTCTCAGCTTCTCTACGATCAAATTCTAGTTGTGCCTTTTGCTTTGATTTCAAGGAACAAAACTGATGCAACTGCTCAGGCATTGCATCATATACTCTCCACCACTTTTCATGAGCAATATCACTTGCAAACTCTTGAAATATGTCCACATTCCAGTTGCAATCGTAGTCTCGGAAGCACAGCCATGGCTTTACGCCAAGATAGTGAAGAACATAGAGTATAGGAGGCTCAGCTGCAAAAAGGCGAGTTTTCTTTTGTTTAACCTCTTCCTCATCACCAATCCAGAAATGTTTTAAGAAGTTCATGTGTTTTGGAATACGATGCCACCATGTAAAGATCTCATTCAGATAGCCTTGATCTCCACCATTATAGGATTCGATCTCGTTAATATGTTCCATCAATAGATTGAATGTGCAATTTGAAGGCTCAATGACCATTACACCTGAGTTAAAAAGACTAGCGTTGTTCCCTGTTGCAGAAATTTCTGGCATGCCAAATAAGAAATCAATGTTCCGAAGTATAAGCAAATCAGCGTCGATGAAAATAATCTTGTCATAATCTGTGAGCTGCCATAACCGGAACTTGCTATAATTCCATTCATTGTAGGCATCCTTCTCAGCTTTTGGGTTCCGTATTCTTTGAATTGTCCTGATTTTCCATCCAGCTGCCTCAAGTCCACTTCTGTGGTAAACACTGATAGTTTCGTCAACAAGTATTACGAGGTCTCTACTTGAGCCTGACAAGCGGATGCTTTGCGCTGCAGCAATGGCTCCACAGACATAAACATGAGCAGAATGGAGAATTGTTGCATATGCTTCTCGCTGTGGATTCCCTGAATAGGCCCTTGCTGCTTTAAAAAAGTTTTGGAATTCTGTCTATCACAAGCCTATTACATTTAAATGGAAAAAAATCTTGAATTTGGATATAACTGACCTTTATCTCTGAGAGGAAGTGCAAGTTCACAAGAGCCAACTGGAAGATGGAGTTTTTGTCTCAAAACATTTACATTTGGCTTGTATAACCAAACATTCCCTTCTCGCACAACAAGTTCCTTGCATGTGAAGAGGTTCGGTATAGGAAAACGCCTAGTGATAAAAAGCATATGGACAGAATAAAACCCCTTGGCAGAGGCTGCAAGACTTGCTGCTGCTAGCTGCAAGTGCAACCGAGCGACATCTCTAGACCAATTCCACTCATTTCTGGAAGGAAGCTTCACAACAATGAGGTCAAGTCGTTTTCTAGGAGTGTCAGGTTTCGGTAGCGATGGGCAAACAGGAACTTCCTTTTCTTGCTCCTCATCAATCCATTCTGGATATAATGAATCCCAGGTCATGTTCTTGTCAGCATAGTCTAGTTGAATATTGACATGTGTAGCATCAGGTGTAAGTTGATTCCAATGATAGACTTCACTGTCATTGAAGTTTAGAAGACCAATTCCCTGATAGTCATTCTGTTCACCCAGCTTCTCAATGACTTTCACCACATCGTCCCAGTTCACATCTAAATCTGAAACATATCTAGGATCTGATCCTCCCCAAATCCATCTGTTCACAAAATTTTGTCTGCGTCAAATAACAAAACTTTAGATTCTTATAGATCTGATTCAGGTTATTTTCATTTCCAAATGACTTTTCTTGTTGCCACTGGGGCATCTGCATATTTGGCCAGCTATGTTGAAATAAAAGATATCAGAAAAGTTTTTCCAAGATCAACCATGTTGGAGAATTTAAGAAACAGATTTTCCCTCAATCCTTTCAAAACATTGTTGCATGGGATCAGACTAGAGCACGCCTCTACAAAGGATACCTAGTTCAGGCATAAAAATCAGAAATATTTTTTTTTTGTACCGTTGTAACTATTTTACCAGAAATGTATTAAGACCCAGCACCAACTGCACAGCATAAGGTAATTATTTGAACCACAATCACAACAGCTGAATGAAAATCTGATAGTTCAGAAGCAGGTGAAAAGGCATGGAATGTACCTTGAAACTGAGTGAGATAGTTGATCCACATCTGGAGAATATAGGAGTGACACAATAGTGCCACCGATAATGACCACAAGGATAAATTTGATTAGTGGAAACTTGCAACAAGAACTTCTATCTTGGATGGGGATGTTGATGGGTTTTTCAACACCTTTAACCTTACTTCTTGTCAACCTTCTTTTGTATAAATCTTCACTGTTTGAGTAGAAATTTGCAAACAAAAAACACGATCAGGAAAAAAAGATAAAAGAAAACAGAATTAGTAACAGAAAACCGGCATGAAAGTACCAATGAACAGGAAAAAATGATCTGATTGTCCATGGAAATGCT